AAAAGACAAACTTGGAATTGTTATGAAATTGGTAAAATGAAGCTAACCTACCCTAAACACAAGTGTCTAACCAACTTCAAGCTTTCTCTACATCATGTAACATTAATGCTCAACCAGTCCATATGTGGCAGTGCTTTATTTCAAAATCAAATTGCAGGTTCGCCATGAAGAATGAAGTAATATATCAACGATGCGATCTGTATCAGTAACTGATTCTTGTACACATTTCTGAGAAGTAGGGCAACACCTGAACTGTAAAAATTTTGTTAATCCGTTAATTGTTAATCCATCACTTGGTTTTAGATCCGTTTTTCCCAACCCATGGGCCATGACATAATTCACCAGTGGGTCATAGATGATTATGAACTTATGTAATGCACACCTGTTCGATTTTACAAGACATATCTGTCCTAGTATTTTTAGGGTTTAATTGAATTAATACGTATAGAAGGTTTATGCTTACTCAAGAGAGAGTGAGAGTGAGAGTGAGAGTGAGAGTGAGAGTGAGAGTGAGAGTGAGAGTGAGAGTGAGAGTGAGAGTGAGAGTGAGAGTGAGAGTGAGAGAGAGTGAGAGTGAGAGTGAGAGTGAGAGAGAGTGAGAGTGAGAGTGAGAGTGAGAGTGAGAGTGAGAGAGAGAGAGAGAGAGAGAGAGAGGAGAGAGAGAGAGAGAGAGAGAGAGAGAGAGAGAGAGAGAGAGAGAGAGAGAGAGAGAGAGAGAGAGAGAGAGAGGAGAGAGAGAGAGAGAGAGGAGAGGGGAGGGGAGGGGAGAGAGAGAGAAAGAGAGAGAGAGAGAGAGAGAATAGAGATAATGTTATAGATAAGAGTGTATGTTACCAAGTAACTGAGTAAGTTACTGAGTGAGAGAGGAAGAGAGCTAAAGAGTGAGAGGAGGAAGTTAGAGAGTTTAAGATATAGATTATTAGAGAGAATTGTTACCAAAGGCACTGTAAAGAAAACAGGATGAGGATGTTGATAATGATTAGATTTCTGAGTTACAAAGATGGATGGTGAGAGAAAATATATGCAATATTGATTTTATTTTCATGTTATACATTTTCACTTCCTTGCTAGAGAATAATTCAAAGTTTCATAACTTGGAGACACAAGAATGGGATTTGATCAAGTATTTGTGCATTTTTCCTCAGCTATATATGTAATGTAAATACAGTTCCTCCATATGCAAGGATGGTATATACTGTGGTATCCCTCAATATGAGAATCTCCCAGGATTTGGTATCAATATATACCACTGTAATAAAGATACATTGTATATATATATATATATATATATATATATATATATATATATATATATATATATATATATATATATATATATAGAGAGAGAGAGAGAGAGAGAGAGAGAGAGAGAGAAGAGAGAGAGAGAGAGAGGAGAGAGAGAGAGAGAGAGAGAGAGAGAGAGAGAGAGAGAGAGAGAGAGAGAGAGAGAGAGAGAGAGAGAGAGAGAGAGAGAGAGAGAGAGAGAGAGACAGAGAGAGAGACAGAGAGAGAGAGAGAGACAGAGAGAGGAGAGAGAGAGAGAGAGAGAGAGAGAGAGAGAGAGAGAGAGAGAGAGAGAGAGAGAGAGAGAGAAGAGAGAGAGAGAGAGAGAGAGAGAGAGAGAGAGAGAGAGAGAAAAAAACTTTGCCACTAGTTTTATTTGTCAAAATCACTTTTGTCCTCCCTCTTAACTTAGGCTGGTCTCTTCAAATTAAATTATTGACTACAATTAGTTATCTAGTATTGGAAACAGTATTTTATGGCATATGTAACAATCAGGCTACACTAAGCGGCTATATTATATATAATATATAAATAATATATATATATATATTATATATATATATATATATAATATATAAAGTAATATGATATACCTATATTATATTTATATATATATGCTAGTATTGGAATACATGTATATTTATGGCATATGTAACAATCAGGCACTAAGCACACACACACACACATAATATATATAATATATAATTATATATATATATATATATAATAATATTATATAATATATTATATATATATATATATAATATACTAATATATATATATATTATATAATAAATGATTGCCCAGTAAAGGGTTAACCCACTCACCAAACAACCATAAGAAAGAAAATATGTACTCCATAACCTATAGTACATCTTTACATGATATTCCAGATTGGAAAATGCGGCCATGGAGCTGGTTCTAATGATTCAGAACAATAACCTGAGGCTTTACGGAGCACTGAGTGACTTGTATATGATTAAGAAGGTCATCTATCCACATCTAGACGAACAAGGACAAGATGTTTTAGACAGAACTGAAGAGGTAATGATAATGATAATAAAGACAATGAGAATAATGATAACAAGAATAATGTTATTAAAAAAATTGTATTGTAAATGATAATAATAATAATGATAATAATAGTAATAATAATAATAATAATGATAAAAATGTTATGTTATTCAGAAAATTATATTGAAAATAATAATGATAA